TGGATTCCGTATGTTCACCCAAATTTTTTTTTCAATTATGAATTTTTATTCAAATTTGATATGTTGAATTTTTCACGTGTAACGACGTTAAGTTAATAATTTATTGTTGGAAATATAACAGCCATATTATGTGCAATAAGCGGGAATTTTCTCGCAGATCTTACCAAGGATGCCTCAGCTTGTGAGCGGAGCTGGTGTGGCTTCATCCGAAAAACAAAATTAATTTTTACGCCTTTTTTAGGAAAAGCTTCCATCTTATGATCTGAGTCCATCAACTTGGGCAAGCGTGGTTAATGATCTTAAGCCTTCAGTGTTCGCTAAACGAATTAAAGTCGGAGTGTCCAAATTGAGCTTAGGTACTACTTATGAGAAGCAAGATCCTCGTCTAGTATTGGTTGTGTAACAATGTAGTCAGTGTTGTGTTGTAGTTTTTGGTACTATTTACAGATTATTTACATATGTAACCGTTACTTTCAAATATTTTAATAAGAGTTGCATTTTAGTATTTAAATGATAAATAAAACCTATGTGTTTATACTATACTAGCATATGTCTGCTACTTCGTTAGCGAATGTAGGAAATACTTAAACATGTATTAACATATTATTTTAATATCGACCATAAATTAAAATTGAGTACCATTTAGTACCAAATTTCATGATTCGAGCTCTAACGGTTCATCCAAATCCAAATTTGACCAAATTTAGTTTCATTTAGTACACATTATTTCCACAAGTACCCTCCTCAACCATCCAATAAAACTTCCTGCATACCCAGATGCTACACCCCCACAATAATTCCAAATTCAAATTTTAGGATTCCAACTCTATCGGTTCACCCACAATTTAAATTGTATCAAATTTAGTACACAGAAGTACGAATTTCTAAAACCTTCTTCTTACCACAAACCTACACCCCAATAGTCATCCTAAATCCAAGTTTCAGGTTTCCAACTCTATCATTTCACTCACAATTAAAATTGTACCAAATTTAGTACACAGTAGTACCAATTTCCAAAACTTCCTACATACCCCAAACCTATATTTCCACAGTGATCCTAAATCAAAATTTCATGATTCCAACTCTTTTGGTTCACCCAAAAATCAAATCGTACTAAATTTAGTACATAGTAGTACCAATTTCCAAACCCTCCTACATACCCCAATCCTACACCTCCACAGTGATCCTAAATCAAAATTTCAGGATTTCTCACTCTATTGCTTCACCCACAATTAAAATTGTACCAAATTTAGTACACTTAGTACAAATTTCCAAATCTTCCTAAATACCCCAATCCTACACCTCCCCAGTGATCCTAAATCAAAATTTCAGGATTTCTCACTCTATTGCTTCACCCACAATTTAAATTGTACCAAATTTAGTACACTTAGTACAAATTTCTAAATCTTCCTACATACCCCAACCCTACAACCCCACAGTGATCCCAAATCCATGTTTCAGGATTCCAACTCTATCGGTTCACTCACAATTCAAATTATACCAAATTTAGTAACACATTAGTACAAATTTCTAAAACTTCCTACATATCTCAATCTTAAACCTCAACAGTGATCCTGACTCCAAATTTCATGATTCTAGCTCTATTGATTCATCTAAAATTCAAATTGTACCAAATTTAGTACCATTTAGTACACATAAGTATTATTTTCTTAAACTAAATCCTGACCCCCAATCCTACATCCCTACAGCGATCCTGACTCCAAATTTCATTTTTTCCGCTCTATCGGTTCCAATCCAAATCCAAATTGTACTAATTATAGTACGATTTAGTACTTTTCGTATACATCAGTAAAAAATTTCCAAAACTACGTACATACCCCATTCCCACACTCCGACGGTAATTTTTTTAATTTCAAATTGTAGGATTCCAGCTCGATTTGTATCGGTTCCAATGCAAATTGTACTAATTATAGTACGATTTAGTACTTTTCGTACACATCAGTAAAAAATTTCCAAAACTACGTACATATCCCATTCCCACACTCCGACGGTAATTTTTTTAATTTCAAATTGTAGGATTCCAGCTCGATTTGTACCTTAAAAATACATTTGCACCAAATATAGTACCATATAGTACTTTTCGTACACATGAGCGAACGCTTTTAAAACCATCTCCTTAAATGGAACCTTAATTCACACACTCCAAATTTTACGTTTTTAGCGCTATCCGTTCACATGCTACGAAATTGCACCAAATTTAGTACATATATTCACTTTTCGGATAATAATAGTTCGAATTTCCAAAAAATCATTAGGTACATCTATCCTATAATCCACCAACGACCACCAAACCAAATTTCAGAGTTCTAGCTCCTCCGCATCGCCAAATACAAATGGTATCACATTTAGTACTTTTCGTACCGTTCTAGTACGAATTTCCCAAAACCCAGCCTTATCTGTCACCTTTGGACCAAGAGTGACCCTCATCCCAAAATCGTTAAATCAATCAATCAGTCAATCACTTTACTCTTTTATTAGTATAGATTAATAAAAAATTGAATAAAAATAGAGTTGACCCGCTTCAAGGACTAATAAACGCTGAAAGTCGATTTTGTATACCCTCTATAATACGGTTAATTTTTAAAAATATTTTTTCTAGATTCTACAGCTTAAATTAAAAAATCAGAAACTAATATTCGCAGATTCTTTTCAAAAATAATTTTTTATACTCTAATTTTGAAACACCCTATTGTAGTAGAACACTTTCTTACAAAGTGGAATATTTCCAAATATTATAATTTATTTAAAATTTTTATTTTTTTAATTTAAACTAATAAATTATAGGACAGAATGTGTGTTGACGGAATAAATTCGATAACACACATAAAGGGAAATAAAACAATATATTTTACTATAAAAATATTTGTTACATAACACAGACACACACATTGTGTGAGTTACATATTTAATTTATTGTAATGATTTATTTGTATTCAATCGCCGATTGTAACCGGTACCAAAAAAAACAGATATTCATTCATTATTATTTGTTTACAAATATTACAATATTTATTGTTATTTTATATCGGCAAACCATACGCAATTTATTAAAATTTTGTTAAATTCAATATCGAATAGAGTATAAATGAATATTCTTAACCTTTGGACGCAAACATTTATTCAAAAAAAAAAAAATATTAAAACAATATTTGGTGTATTCCAAAAAACAACGCACAAATAAATATTTATTTTGTTGCTGGAATGCAGAGAACGTGAATGATAAATTACACCATTTCCAAAGGAAATTTAGAATAACACTTTCAAACATATATCAAACATTGCCTAACAAAAAATAATTTTGAATATTTATTTTTTAAATTTCATTTTATAAAATAATTTTAATAAATTAAAGATAGTAAATGGTGTATTCTTATCACAATTAAATTATAACACATAAGTAGTCCCTATGGAATTTTTATTCTTCGAATTTAAATATTGATTTAAAAGTCAGGCGTTAAAGACATGCAATTAAGCAAATATTTGCATTAAATAATACAATAATAATAACATTAATATACAAAACTATTTCTAAAGAAAATTTACGTGAATTGAAAATAAATTTAAACAAGTGGAAATTTATTTATTTTTTTATTTAAAAAACATTTTAAAGAATATTTTTTCAAGCACCAGACGTGGATATTTTAAAGAATATTTTTTCAAGGGTCCAACACAAGGCGTGGATTTTTTAAAGAATATTTTTTCAACGGTCCAACACAAGGCGTGGATTTTTTAAAGAATATATTTTCAAGGGTCCAACACAAGGCGTGGATTTTTTAAAGAATATTTTTTCAAGGGTCCAACACAAGGCGTGGATTTTTTAAAGAATATTTTTTCAACGGTCCAACACAAGGCGTGGATTTTTTAAAGAATATTTTTTCAAGGGTCCAACACAAGGCGTGGATTTTTTAAAGAATATTTTTTCAAGGGTCCAACACAAGGCGTGGATTTTTTAAAGAATATTTTTTCAAGGGTCCAACACAAGGCGTGGATTTTTTAAAGAATATTTTTTCAAGGGTCCAACACAAGGCGTGGATTTTTTAAAGAATATTTTTTCAAGGGTCCAACACAAGGCGTGGGTTTTTTAAAGAATATTTTTTCAAGGGTCCAACACAAGGCGTGGATTTTTTAAAGAATATTTTTTCAAGGGTCCAACACAAGGCGTGGATTTTTTAAAGAATATTTTTTCAAGGGTCCAACACAAGGCGTGGATTTTTTAAAGAATATTTTTTCAAGGGTCCAACACAAGGCGTGGATTTTTTAAAGAATATTTTTTCAAGGGTCCAACACAAGGCGTTGATTTTTTAAAGAATATTTTTTCAAGGGTCCAACACAAGGCGTGGATTTTTTAAAGAATATTTTTTCAAGGGTCCAACACAAGGCGTGGATTTTTTAAAGAATATTTTTTCAAGGGTCCAACACAAGGCGTGGATTTTTTAAAGAATATTTTTTCAAGGGTCCAACACAAGGCGTGGATTTTTTAAAGAATATTTTTTCAGGGACCTACAAAAGGAGTGGATTTTTTAAAGAATATTTTTTCAGGGACCTACAAAAGGAGTGGATTTTTTAAAGAATATTTTTTCAGGGACCTACAAAAGGGGTGGATTTTTTAAAGAATATTTTTTCAGGGACCTGAAAACTAATTTTTACAGGTTTAAAGAACAGTATTTTCAATGAACAAACGGACTTTCAAGGACTTCCAGATGTCCAGATTCTATTACATTCCGAGAGTATAGCCATTATCATAAATAAATATTTGTAGGTCAAATATTTGACCAATATTTAAATTGATTATTTGTATCCGAAGCTTATCAGCATAAAATGGCATACAAACATAAGATTTTGATTTATTGGTCTTTATTCTATTTAAAATACATTTCAGAATTGTTAATTGTTTGCACAGTCTTAATGACACTTCTGCACAATAAACAATTGCAACGTTCTTGATTTTTGTAAAACAAAATAGAACCTTGAAAACAAAAATGAATAATCCCGATTTGTATCACGAAGCCAACGAAGTTCAACGACATGATTCCGCTGAAATATTTCGTGAATATTTTAAACAATTCCAATGGCGCTACGATGGTCAGGATTCCCTGATCGATATTGGTTCGGGTAGCGGTAATGTTCTCATGGACTTGATATATCCAAATATGCCCAAGAATTTCGAAAGGATTGTTTGTTCGGATATTAATCCGAATATGGTTGACTATGCCAGGCAACAATATGGCCAATTGAAGAAGGTGGAATTTCGAGTTCTAGATATTGCTGCGAGACAAAACCTCCCCAGGGATTTAAAACATCAATGTTACTTCGTTCTATACCCTAATGTGGGTACAAAATCAAAGGTGAGTGCGAGGACACTGTGCGGTAATAGAGAAATTAGTTGATAGAGTTTTTTTCAGACAAGCCCTTAAGAATATTTTCAAACTCTTGCGGCCACAAGGTGGTGATTGCCTTCTGGTCTTCTTGGCCTCACATCCCCTATATGATGCCTATAAAATGACAAGTCGAATGAGTGAATGGTCCAAATATATGCACGATGTAGATTCCATAATTTCACCCCTGCATTATGTCCGGGAACCCCAACAAGAATATGCCGCACTAATGGCAGATGTGGGATTTTCAAAGTTCAAAGTCAAATTGCAGCATAAAACGTTCGACTATAAAAGTTTCGAGGTTTTTCGAGGTTAGGCAAACATGATTAAACAAAAAAAAAATAATTATTTATTTAGTTTCTATATATTTTCCAGCTAACATGAAAGCTGTCAATCCCTTTTTGGATCGTATACCACCGGCATTGCACTCGGACT